CCCTCTTCGGTGCTGGTTCCTCCTTTGAAGGCTGGTATATTAGTATGGGACAAGACTTATCTCCCCCAGGCCACATCTGTTTCTTGAAAGGGTGGTGGTTCGCTATGAGGCTTTGCATGTACGTAACCCGGTCATCAACGGGGATGTCTGCAAAGACTCCCCATCCAGCATGGGGTTGGCTTTCAATAGGTATCAAAGATGTCACCGCCAGCTGAAAAAAACAGATGCATGACACAATTATCAGACAAAGAGGCAACTAATATACATAGATATTAGTAGAATTAAAAAGTTAAATTAGTTTTTACATTTTGCGCAGCTTCCACGCGTAGTATCTCAGTGTAGCTGATGTTTGCGTGAAGAGGGAGATGGGGTTCTTCGAGTTGACTTATTGAAAGCGTGTCTACGGGGGCTGGAATTAGACTCTGCAATTGAGGGACCGCCTGAAAGGCAAGAAGCTGCAAAGCAAGTGGGAATCCCTGAAGCCTGTATATTTCCTGCTTCAGCAGAGCGACTAGCTCTCCGGAAGGGTCCTCGCAATCAACTGGCGGTTTCATACAGCTGATGGTCTTCAAAAAGGACTCCCTGCCCCAGGGGTGTTGGCAGAATGCGTCGACGTCCTGAACCATTTTGACATACTTCAGCGTAGGACGTGTCTTCTGCTGATGAGCAATGAGGACCCCGTCAACGATCAATATGAGAACTAGTTGCAACTTCTTCCGCGCTGGCATCCGTTTGTCAGTCTCGAGTCTGTGACGCAGATCAGCAATGGTGACAAACTTCTTCTTACCGATAAGCCTGATCCAGTCTGGGTCTGTGTTCACTTTGCTCTGGTCTGCTAGTTCGATCTCGTAGTCTGCGGGGAACTCTCCACACGGTAAACCTGTGATTGTGCCAAACTCCTTGAGGCCAAAACGTATAGGGTCGATTCCGAAGACTGACCAAAGTGTGTGACTGTCCTCGCAAAGAAGTTGCCTAGTGAGGAAGGCGTGGATAAGTTTGCAGGAGACGGGACATTGACGTGCTGGGAGCTCAAACAACTTCCCGAAGCAGGAGTTTTTGATGTACTGGAGCTCCTCCGTGTTCCTTAGGATATTCTGGATGAAAGGGAGAATATCTGGCTTGGAGAAAATGTTATGCCGACGGCTGGGGAACCGATCTGTTGCGAACAACCTAGGTGGGAGTCTTTTATCGGGATTATTTTAACCTACAAAACAAATGACTTCCAACAATCAGTATTACAATACAAACGTTTCACTAGTTGAACAAATCAGAAGCGGCTGAAGCGTAGACCAAAAAAATACAAGAGGAGCAGATGCATGCAATAAACGAAACATAAAATCAGTAGCGAACCCAAAACTGAAAATTAAAGTACGGTAGAAAAAACGGCGAAAGTGCGGCTAAAAATCCGGTGGGAAACCCTCGAGCAAATACTCAAAAAGGATGGATGTCCAACCGATATAGAGTCAAATCATTCGATTGTAAGTGGAAAAATAATAAAGTCCTACGATTTAGAGAATGTGCAATTCGAAACTTGAGTAAAAGTGGAAATCGTGCATTTCATGTCGGAAGGAGACTTTGATAGATGTCTACACCGGCTCAAAACTCGGAGCTTCTGTGATTCAGTAACCAAAACAGTGAGAAGAAGAATTTAGGGTTTGTCGCCGCCGCAGACTTTGGGAGAGAAGGAGAGAATACAAAAAGAGGGGAAATGAAAGAATATGGTTTGACTAGGGTTCAGGATTGGTTTAGTTAGACCTGGTATTTTGATTTTGATTCGAGGGAACACCAACTCGGTTTGGTTTCAATTGATGTAAGGGTAGAGAGGTATTTGACTAGTAATAAACTGCCCTTCAAACAGGATGTGTCTTATCCTGATATGTGAAACTGAAAAAGTGTCCAAGGAGGTAATAAAATCATTTATCACTATGTACAAATAACTTGTTATATGTGAAACTTTTGTTATATTTTTTTGTTATGATAAAATAATTTTATATATTTTAACAGAGCGATATTTCAAGAGAATTTGCTTAATTCTCAAAAGTTTAGCTTTCCTCTCACAAAGCTTAATTAGAGTCCTAATTAACAATCATTTTCTTTTTTTTCTTTTTCTTTTTGAGAAAGGACTTTAAGTTAACAATCATTTTCGCTCACTCTTTTTATTTGTTTATTAATCAAATACAATACAACAACAAATCAACAAGTCCTCTTTGATCTCCTTTCTTCCTCCTTCCTGAACTTTATCCCACAAGCATTGCATAAAGTCTGAACACATTAACATTCATTTACTTTAGTTTTAACCAGCGCAACTAATCATTTGTCACTAGTTCAAACCTGATTAAATAGTAAAATTAATTAATGAAATTACCTTTGGACCAAGAGGACCCCTTCGCCACATAGGAGTGTTAATCGCGTTGCAGTTCTTGTTCGTACACCTCCTCATCCAGCCACAACAGCCGCCGCAACCGCGATACTGTTTCAAATTGGCGTTCCGGCCCAGAGCGTTTTCAATAGTTATAGAGTTACGAACTGCTCTCCTAGCAGGGACATCGAACAGAACATAATCACTCCTCCTAGGAGTCTCCGGCGCCGTCACCGGAAAAGAATACGGAGATGGTTGTATCGGAAACGGAGCGAAGTTCAAGGTCTCGCCGATGCCAGCGAAGTGGTTGAAGACTAAGTTGTAATATCTCGTATTGACGTCAACGTGACGTTCGTCTGGTTTATTTTCATTCCCGAGGATGGGACGGCGGCCGTGAGTCTCGCCGCCGTCGTTGCGGCCATCGTCGACGTTGATCCTCTGTTTTGGTTTAGTTTAAGTTTTAATTAATTAGCATTTAATTGTATGTAATAGTTGTCAATATGTAGTGCTGTCATAAAGGTAATTAATTAGCTGTAAAAAGGAAATGATGAGAAGGATTTAATGTTCTTTTGAGGGGTTTTACCGTTTCTTAAACAGAAATTAATTAATTTAATGTTAGTTCAATTCATTTGGACTTTAAAACGTTGAGATGTAAGATAAAAAATGAAAATAAACTAGTCATGCACTTGACCAAAAAAAAAAAAAAAAAAAAACTAGTCATGCATTTTTCCACAGTTAATGTTATCAAGTTAATCAATACTAAAAAAAATTAAAACATTAATCATACAAGTTTATGTGAGACTTTTAATAGTTACTAATTTATATTTATTTTTAAAAGTTCAAAATACAATTATACAAAAATAAATAAAAATTATTATATGGTTAATCTAATTGTGTAATTTATCTTCAAAACAAATATTTAAACAAAAATGATAGAGAGTTTAAAAATTGTTAGAAAATCTTTATTATTTAAAATTATTAATTGCCATACATATATTTTAATCATAGTAGGTAGTTCTGTAAATTTTATTTAAAAAATAATGGAGGGTAAATTTTTAGGTTGATAAAAAATTTAAGATTAATTTAACGATAATTATAGTTTATATTTTAATATATAAGGAATGTACCGACTAGGCCCGATTAGTGTTGGAGTTTTATACGCGTTCTTCAAAACATAACGTTACAGTGATTTTTAATACTTTCAAAAAGATTAGAAGATTTGTTACTTCTGACTTTTACTTTTTAAAAGACCATATTCAGCCCAATAGTTTATATGGTGAATCATAACATATGATCAATTCATATTTTAGCTTTAGTTAAAAGGTATTCCAAACTCGGGTTAAACGGTGTGGTAGCTAGCCATTCTATAACACTAAATGCGTTTTTCGCGGAGCCGACTAAATCAGTTGAAAGGGTTTTTTTTTAAAAAAAAAAACAGACCATTTTCGTATTATTTTTCCTAACTCAAAATCATATTGTAACAAAGAATTCAGCAAATAAAAAAACAAATTTTCTCGGACACCAATGTAACCGGCTTTGCAAATATGTACTGGATGTCGTTTGTCACAGTCTGTCGGAACTAGCTAATTATCATTAATATATGTAACTAGTATAGATTGTATTTATATTTTTAACTTATAATATAATTAAATGTATTATCAATTACATTAAATTATAAAATAAAAAAATCATTTTAAATATGTAAATTTTAATTTCGAAGAATATTTTTATAGAATAAATAATTAAGTATACAAATTAACTATAAGAAAAAAATAACATATATAAATAAACATAAAGATGAAATTAGTAAATTTTAATAAATAGATATAAAAACTAAATTTGATAAATATAATTAGTCAATTATAAAAAATATATTAAATTACTAAAACAAACAAATTAATAATATAATATTGTTTTGGTGTAGAATTTGGTGTGATAGTTGGAGATTAAAAAAAATTTAACACCAAAACATTAAATTTGGTGTAATTTTAACACCAAATTTGGTGTTATGGTTGGAGATGCCTTTACATTGTATTGGTTCAAAGAATAGTGTCCAATTTAGTAAAAGTACAAAGTCATACTCATATTGATTTCACAACTATAACATCACTATATTTGTATTTGACTAACAGTTATTTCTATACATAACCCAAATTTAAACCGAAATTTATAATATGTAAATCCTATCCTTGTAGATTAATATTAACAGTCCAAAACCATTTGAAATTTCATTTTAGAAATGAGAAGAATCACTGCAATAGCTTGTATCAGAGCAAGTAACATGAATTTCTTATTTAAAAAAAAAAAACTACTTATGACAGTGGCAAAAAATGATGTATGTCCAATAATGGATTTATCACTATGTACAAGTAACTTGTTATATGTGAAACTTTGGTTATCTTTTTGTGGTATGATAAAATAGCTGCACATTCATAATATTATATATTGTAACAGACGATATTTCAATAGAATTTGCTTAATTCTCCCACGTTTAGCTTTCCTCTCACAAAGCTTAATAAGAGTCCTAATTAACAATTTTTTTATTTTTTTTTTATTTTGAAAAAGGGCTTTAAGTTAACAATCATTTTCGCTCACTCTTTTTATTTAATCATTATTAACCAAATACAAATACAACAACAAATCAACAAGTCCTCTTTGATCTCCTATCTTCCTCCTTTCTGAACTTTATCCCACAAGCATTGCATAAAGTCTGAACACATTAATATTCATTTACTTTAGTTTTAACCAGCGCAACTAATCATTTGTCACTAGTTCAAACCTGATTAAATAGTAAAATTAGTTAATGAAATTACCTTTGGACCAAGAGGACCCCTTCGCCACATAGGAGTGTTAATCGCGTTGCAGTTCTGGTTCGTACACCTCTTCATCCAGCCACAACAGCCGCCGCAACCGCGATGCTGTTTCAAATTGGCGTTCCGGCCCGGAGCGTTTTCAATAGTTATAGAGTTACGAACTGCTCTCCTAGCAGGGACATCGAACAGAACATAATCACTCCTCCTAGGAGTCTCCGGCGCCGTCACCGGAAAAGAATACGGAGATGGTTGTATCGGAAACGGAGCGAAGTTCAAAGTCTCGCCGATGCCGGCGAAGTGGTTGAAGACTAAGTTGTAATATCTCGTATTGACGTCGACGTGACGTTCGTCTGGTTCATTTTCATTCCCGAGGATGTGACGGCGGCCGTGAGTCTCGCCGCCGTCATTGGGGCCACCGTCGATGTTGATCCTCTGTTTTGGTTTAGTTTAAGTTTTAATTAATTAGCATTTAATTGTATGTAATAATTGTCAATATGTAGCGCTGTCATAAAGGTAATTAATTAGCTGTAAAAAGGAAATGATGAGAAGGATTTAATGTTCTTTTGTGGGGTTTTACCGTTTCTTAAACAGAAATTGATTAATTTAATGTTAGTTCAATTCATTTGGACTTAAAAACGTTGAGATGTGTAAGATAAAAAATGAAAATAAACTAGTCATGCATTTTTCCACAATTAATGTTTTCAAGTTAATACTAAAAGAGATGATGGTGATTGTTTGGGACTTTGGTGCGATTAGTTAATTTCTGTTCATGCCCATATCAATCAGTAAAGACTGGTGAAGAGAAAATGAGTTATTTGTGAAATAAAACCTGATTAGTGGTGGAAGAAGTGTCTAAGCTCAGATGTGTCTCAACAGCGGGACTTGGCAGACCCAACCTCAGTGTTAAATCCAGTTCCTTCTCCATCTTCTCTACAGAAATTTTGGAAAAAATCTATAAAACTACATAAATTGTTAGAAAATATTCATATGAATTTACTATTTATAAAAGCATTTTCGAGAATGGTATGAACAAACATAAACACATGAAAATGGGCATGCACGATGTGTCTGGATACACTTACAGAGATGATTATGCAAATTGATCCACAAGTTTTAGTTTTTATGCTTTCAGATCTGAACTAATCGATCCACTATTCTTGTTGAGATCGTGAGTTGCTTTGGTGTACTTTATATACACATAGGCAGATGTATGTGCGTTATATTCATATATACGCACGTATTTAGAGAGCAACATAAGGCATGAGAAATGTGATTATCGACAAATCATAATTACTACATGACAAATCGAGCTTAATTTTGAAATAAAGACGTTAAATATAGAAAAACGGTAGACTTCTGTAAAACCAACCATGGAAATAAACACAAGAGGACTGAAGAGAAGATCAGAACTTACACAAGCTGGTCAAACATGTGCTTGGCCAATATTTTTATTCATGCATTAATCTTAAGTATGTTTACACTCCAGCAATAAAATATATTCCTATAAAGAAACTATTGAGAAGCTAAACAAATAACAACAACAATAACATAAAACATAGAATGGCGATACAAATCATAAAAATAAACCACATGAACAAATAACAAAGCTATACCAACATCCGAAATAAAACCTGTAATAGAACCCATAATGGAACCCATAACAAACCATATGAAGAAACCACAAAATGAACCATATGAACAAATAACAACAACAATAACATAAGAGATAGAATGGCAATACAAATCACAAAAACGTCATAAACTTCTTCAAAGATCGCATCTAGTGTAACCCGTAGTACCACACACACTACACCATATGCAGAGAAAAGCATTCAATAGGAGGAAGATCTTTGCAATACCAACGAAACTTATTCATCCAATTCACTCCATATAGGAGGAAATATTAGGAAATAAACTGATTGAGGGACAAGTTGGAAAACATAACCAGCCACATCCATATTCATCGGCTTGTAGATGACAATGGATTTCTCTTCTACATGCCACCAAAAAGAGAGATACACGAACACAATACCAACATCTGAATTGGAACCCATAATAGAACTGCATACTGCAGTCAACCGTGCCAATGCGATATAAATGCTACTAGAGGTCACAAAGGTAAACCAAATGAGATTAAACTCATCGCTATATCATCATCTAAACTCATGAACCTTAATTCCAATGTCACCCACAAAAATAGCTGTCTAAACAATTTTACAGTAGTATAATAAGTAGAAAATAAAGAGCTAAGATGACTATTAAGAACCTTACACTGAGGAGTAGTAGGGAGGTAGAAACAAGAACTGATTGAATATTAGTCGAAACACACCCAAATAGAAACCTGTATATCACAGGAAATAGAAGCTCAAAGGCGAAGGAAGTGTCACTAGCGGACACAGGGAGACCACAATCACCACCATTCTTTGTCGCGATCCTTGATGGAGGCTTCAGAGTTGAGATATGGGTAGAAACTTGAGGAGATGGTCAGGAGAAGAAACATTCACAGATGTATGTTGAAACACCAGAGAACAAGTAGGGAACATCACAGCCTCGAGACTCAAGCGTCGAAACACCAGAGAGCAAATACGCAGCGTCGTGAGCTTTTCCAGTTCCGATGAGAAGCTTGGCCAATCTTGTGGATTCATGAGCATTGAAATCATTTCCTTGCAGTCCGTCCTAAAGCTCTGACACGGCGAATGTTGAAGCATGTTCTCCATTGCCCACCGCAGTGCTTCCAGCTCAGAGTGCAAAGCAGACTCCACTCTATCAAAATTACGCATACCCATCAACTGACTATTCCCCATATTATCATTCCAGACCCATCCACATCCACTGAACTGAGTTGTAGAGGTCCAAGAGCCATCCACCATACAGATATTCCCCAGACTTATGGCTTGGTTGTCGATATCCATGTTTTCTAGAGAGGCCAAAGAACTCTGTTCATTAGCTTGGAACCAGGCTTGACATTCGCTCTCTGCATATCGCGCTATATCCAGTGGATCTCTATCAATCCCTTTGAACAATTTGTCATTCTGAGCCTTCCAAATATACCATATAAGCCAAGGATAAGGATCCATGTCTAAATCATGTTCTGATATTGCATTCTTCCTCCAAAAAAGATAATCCATGTTCGCATATGTGCTCTGAAGTGGGAACAATGTAGGACTAGTAGGCATCGACGATAAGGCCCAAACTTGCTTTGCAGGTGGGCACAGAAAAATGGCATGTGTAATAGATTCTTCGGGTTCTCCACAGCGTGGACAGTAATTGTCACACATTATATGTCTATAATTAAAGGTACTCGTAACAGCCACATGACATGTTATTAGTTGCCACATAAGACGGCACATATTTTGGGGAGCCCGCACCTTCCAAGCTTGTGCTTGTAGTTTAGTGATACTAGGTTCCCTAACTACAGCCACCTCTTCCTTCTTTAAAATATTTCATGCAACCCAATATTCTGATTTGACTGTATACTGGCCATTCCTTGTATAGCTCCAACAAAATGTGTCTCTACGATGTGTAGAACTAATTGACATACTCTTTATGAGAGGTATATCAACAACATTTACGTAGTTTTCCAGTCTTGTCACATCCCAAGTCTTAGATTCTTGATTAATAAGGTTGCTTACTCCATGTTTGGATGCAACACCGGTGCAGATGGGGACGCCGATCTCACTGGTATAGTAGGAATCCAAGGATCCTCCCATACTTTCACCTCATAGTCCGAATGAATCTTTTTTCTAACTCCCGGTAAAAGTAATTCTCGTGACGCCGATAGGCTTGTACACACTTATGATGGGTTGCTAACAGTAAGCTGACGCAACGGCGAGCTTAATCGATAATACCACCCCTCAAAACACGAGCAACTAGAGAATCTGGGTATTGAACCAGCCTGCATAATTGCTTTGCTAGCAATGCCAAGTTAAATTCATGGATCATCCTGAAGCCAATCCCACCTTCCTCTTTAGATAGACATAATTTGTCTCATGTTAACCAATGTATGCCTCTTTTTGGAGGATTTGAGCTCCACCAGAACTGTGCAATGGCCCTAGCTAAGGCATCGCATATCTTCAAGGGCAGAAGAAAGCAGGACATTACATAAGTTGGCAGTGCTAGTAGGATTGACTTAATCATAACCTCCTTGCCACCTTTTGACAGCCACCTACCTGTCCACATGTTAACTCTGTTCCTCAATTTATACTTTAAAAAATGCAAAAAGTTTGTATTTGGACCCACTGATATCCTCTGAGATTCCTAGATATGTTCCCATTCCTCCTTCATTCTGAATTCCAAGGGTATCTTTAATTTCATGTCTAACATCTTGTCCAATCCTCTTACTAAAGAGTAAGGAAGATTTGTCAAAGTTAATGCATTGACCTGAGGCTTATCCATACTTCCTGACCACTTTCATTACTTCTTCACATTCACGGGGCTCCGCTTACAAAAGAACAGGCTATCATCAGTAAAGAGAAGGTGAGATACCGAAGGACACACACGTCTGATGCACATCCCCATTATCTTCCATTGATTCTCTGCATGATTTAGAAGGCTAACGAGCGCTTCCGTGCACAGAATAAAAATGAAAGAGGATAGAGGATCCCCCTGTCTTACACCTCTCTATGGAAAAATGTTCCCTCTTGGCTGACCATTCATAAGGACCTTATACTTAACTGATGATATACAGCGCATTATCCAAGTTATCTAGATTTCTGAAAAACCCATCTTCCTCATGGTAACCTCAATGAAGGACCACTTCATTCTATCATACGCCTTGCTCATATACGTTTTAATAGCCATCCTCTTATTACGTCCACTGGGTTTGGTTCGTAAAGCATGGAACATCTCCTGAGCAATCATAATGTTAGCAGAGATCTGCCTCCCCGCAACAAAGGCTGACTAGGTCTCTGAGATTCTATCTGGTAGAAATTTTTTTAACCTCTGGCATAAGACCTTAGAGATTATCTTATAACTAATATTACATAAGCTGATAGGGCGTAGCTGACTCATCTGATTCGGCTTATCAACTTTCGGAATGAGACATATGTTGGTTTCATTTAAACCAGTGGGTATTGTACCTTCAAACAGAAGCTGATCAACCATAAGAGTTAAATCCTCTTTTACAATATCCCAAAATTTCTGGTAAAAAAACGCGGAGATTCCATCTGGGCCTGGAGCTTTCTCTGGATGCATTGCAAAAAGCGCAAATTTGATCTCCCATTCAGTAACCGGTGCTGTGAGATTTTCATTATCTACTGGTGTAATGGTTGTAGAGACCTTAGATAATGCCTCCTCTATGTCCTCAGGAATCGATGATTGGAAAATATGTCTAAAATAATTTGTAGCAATGGCTACAAGTCCCTCCTCATCCTGAACCACATTCCCGTCCTCATCCAAAACTGTGTAATCATGTTCCTTGTCCTTCTCTGCTTCGTGAGAGCATGAAAGAATTTTGTATTCATGTCCTCCTTCTCATAGCCAAAAAACCCTACACTTCTTCTTCCAAAACATCTCTTATGCTTTAAGAGCATCAGATAATTCCTTTAAAGCTGCTGCAATCTCCTCAGTAGTTGCATCATCGTTAGAAGATAACTGATCAATTTTTTTTTCCTTTAACTCTTCCACACTTTTTTCAGAGTTTAAATTGTGTTGTCTCTTCCAATCACTCAATGCACGCCAGAAACTTACAATATGCTCCATAATACTAGCTTCTGGTAGAAGGTCCGGTGATTTCCATCCCTCCAGGAATACTTTCCTGAGCTCCTCATTGTCCAGCCAACGTTTATCAAATTTAAAAATTTTCGATCTTCGTGGCCACTTTTTAAAAATATCAGCTAAGATCGAACGATGGTCCGATCCCCACATCCTCATATACTGTACCTTCGAGTGAGGGAATTTGTCATGCCAGTCCTCATTACCAACAGC